CTAGCCATATGGTTAAACTAGCGCATGTGCCTACTCAGGTATGGAAAGGGTACAATCCAAGTAGTTGGTTTGGTAGCTGGTATGAGTGGTTTGGAGGGCTTAAGGCAGTGGTAGGTGGAGTCCTACTGATTTTAATGTTGTGTCTACTCCTGCCGTGTCTTATACCCTTAGTAGTTAGGTCTGTGCAAAGCCTGATAGAAAATATAGCAGAGAGGAAGGCTGCTGCACAGATAATGGCAATTTATAAATATAAGGCTCTAGATCAGGGAGAACCAATGCAGGAAGACGAGTGTTGAAGATTCACATCGTAGGATAAGTCTGGTCTGGTTCAAAGGTAACTTGTGGTGTATGCAAACCAAGGTTAAGTGATGCCTCAAGTAATTGTAAAATATCAAGAGGCATCAAAGGGGGGAATGTGGTGGAATCTCGGTAAAAATAAATTTAGTAGGCCGAGATTACCACGTGGCATGTGTACGTGCATATGCTGACGTATCGATCAGTTGGTTGCACGAGGCAAGATACGATCAGTAGTGTACGGAGCATGTGCAAGAATACAGGATGTAGTATTCCCCTCCTCCATTGTGCTGGACAAGCCATGCGGTCAAGCAGGAAGTTAATTCTTATTTGTAATGATTGGTCAAGAGAATGTGCGGGTGGAGCTTAATATGGGAGGAGTTATGTGCCTATATAGGGAGCCTGCACTATTGTTCAGGGCTCAGAACTTGCTGTATTTTTGGTGACATTAGTCCCTCTGAGTCCCGATCGGTGATCCAATAAAGAATCTCTTCCTTCCTGAAGAAACCTGTGTCCATCTCTCTGTGCTTTGCTTCCGTCAGTTTCTCCGGTATCAGTGGTATTTAATTACTCTGAGAAGATAAATCCATGAATCCATTGTGACGTGTGATCACAGTGAATGAGAGGTGTCTGTGAGACGCTGGGTCTGCAAACCTTTGTGTCCCCTACTCTCTTCCAAGTCATTGTTTTGGTTCCCCTTTCACAGCTCAGCTTCTGCTTCTTTTTTGTTTGTGGTAAGAACTTTCTCATAAACTTCCCTAAAAATTACAAAGGGAAATAAAATGCTTTTAGTAATGTTAGCTTGCTTTTGCGTAAGCTTAATATTTTTGTTTAGAATATTGGAATGCTGACACAGATATTTAAGGGTTTATTCACAATACAATGAGTTATAGAAAATTGAAAACCAAATTACAAAATGTATTTAAACATAGACAAATTATAAAAGATATATATAGATAGATAGATATAGTCACAACTTGGATATTTTAGTCTACATTTGGTAATTTTATTCCTGATACAACACAAATCATTGTTTAGAGAATAAACCCTTAAGAGTCGAACATATAGATTAATTAGCATTTAACCATCCAGGAAAAACATGACAGGTGTATAGTCGCCATTTTGGGCAGTCGGAATCCAGGACAATAACCCCGTAACCTAACCCAATAACGCACGGACACTAAGGGATATGGGGAAATTTGTCCACAGCTTTATTAAGCAAACAATAATAATAACAATAATAATAATAATAATAACTTAACAAGTAAAACATGGGTCATTGCCCCCCATACTCCGCCCTCGCATCCTATTCCTTCCATTAACATATAAAGGGCAATGACCCCCATATAAATAAACATATATATATATATATATAACATACATCAACATTATTCCAATCGATGTAAAGTGCCAACCATCCATTAGCCACGGCAGGGTTATACCCGGATACCCCTACCCCACCAGGTTCTGAGCCACCGACAGGACTCGAAACCTATCAACCACCGATGACCACCACTTGTTTGTTTTCCATTACGTTCATCCTGGGGAGCCTATTTCCTTTCCTTCAGCTCCCCATCCCGCCGCTGTGAAAAAACGGGACAACACCACACATAACAAAACAGGGAGGGTGGGAGGGACAAACTTAACCAGGAAGGAAATTAGAATGACTTACCTAAAATGGCTGCCCATTTAAATAACCAAACCTACTTACCCATAACTCCACTCCCTTGCTTACTTCCTCCTAAGCCCGCCTCCTAACCCCTGTCAAGGCCTTTTTTCGCTTAGCTGCGCCTGGCTACATGGGGCTACAGGAAAGAAGATCTACAAACAACTATTGTGGAATCTGCCATGGGAATTGCTAGCATGTTGTCACCAAGAAAGGTCCCATCAGGCGTGGTGGAGGAGGACGTCGGGTACAAATCTTCATGAAATCAAAGGGATAAACCTCATAATGAATCTCTCTAAACTGGTACATGGTCTGCTGATGGATATATATAAGTCGAGACCCCTAATTTTACCCCCAAAAAACTGGGAAATCTTAAGACTAGGGTGGGAAATGCAGCAGCTACTGGTAAATTTCTAAATAAAATTGGATCCCCAAAAAATTATATTAATTGAATATTTATTTACAGTGTGTGTATATAATGAATGCAGTGTGTGTGTATGAATGCAGTGTGTGTGTGTATGAGTGAAGTGTGTGTGTATGAGTGCAGTGTGTGTATGAATGCAGTGTATGTGTATGAGTGCAGTGTGTGTGTGTGTGTGTATGAATGCCGTGTGTGTGTGTGTGTGTGTTTGAATGCAGTGTGTGTGTATGAGTGCAGTGTGTGTGTGTGTGTATGAATGCAGTGTGTGTGTGTGATGCAGAGCCTTGGTGGGGGGTGGGCATTTTTATAATTTTTTTTAATTATTATTATCATTTTTTTAAATTTATATTATTAATATTTTTTTATTTTAATATGATTAAATTTTTTATTTATATTTTTTTGTCCCCCCCTCCCTGCTTGTTAGCTGGCCAGGGAGGGGGGCTCTCATTCCCTGGTGGTCCAGTGGATGGGCTGTGTAGGAGGGGGGCTGGCAGAGAGCTGTTACTTACCTTTCCTGCAGCTCCTGTCAGCTCCCTTCTCCTCCGTGCCGGTCAGCTCCCTTCTCCTCCACTGTAAGTCTTGCGGTGTGACTGCCGCGCGGAGCGTTGCCACGGTAACCCGTGGCAACGCTCTGACCCTGCGGCTCTCGCGACATTTACAGGGGAGCTGACAAGAACGGAGCTGACAGGAGCTGCAGGAAAGGTAAGCTCTCTGCCAGCCCCCAACAGAACTGCCGGGCTTGTAATGAGCCTGGCGGTCCTTTTCTTTATTATGGCAATGTAAGTTGCCATAATACAGATGTGACAGATTCATCTGTATTGCTGGTTCATCTGTTTCCCTTTGTTCGCTGGATTTCCCGTTCGTATACCCCCGTTCGTGTAATTTGCAAACTACCGATTGAAACTACCGAACGAACGACCACCCAGGAGAGGAGTGTGCTGCTAGTTAACCTCTTGGCCCCAATTAGAACGTGTGGGTAACCGCAGACACCTCTCCATTCCATTCGTACGGGTGGTCGTCGTTCGCATGTCGACCACGAGGCAGCGGCCATTTTGGGACACACGAACGCATAGCGGTGTTCGGTACAAATTGTATGGAACTAAAAACGGACACTTAAACTACCGAACACCGCTGGAAGCTGCTGCCCACCTTCTATTTCGACAAGGCATGCGAACGTCGGTCGTTCGGGAGTTTTTATTCATTCGTATGGACTTTTACCCAGACAGCCGTCCCATGGAGTCATTCGTATACCGAAGGACTGGTGAAAGACTTTGACTAGATACATCGGATCTGAGCACTATTCGGTGAAAACATGCACTCAGATCCAGGCTGTCTGGGGATACGTTACACGAACTATATGCATTCGGTATTTCTTCAGTTATGTATTTTAATGTATTTTTACTACTGTAATTTAAAATGGCGATTGTCTCTACCCTGGGAGATAATTAGGTTTCTTCCTAATTATCTCCGAGGTAGAGAAGACGGATTTATGGGTAAGATGGGAAGGGCTTATATTGAAGCCACTGCGATTGGCTACTGTACAATATGTTTTACAGTCTTCCACAAGGTCCCCTCGGGGAGTGTCCACCTTGTGGAGACCTGCATAAATACCGGGCAGGTAGCCCCCATTAAACAGATCCTGATTTGACCCTCAAGACGGAGCTTGGTCTCGTTTGTGGGGGGAATTACTACTGGGACAGCGCTTTCATTATTTTTAGCTGTGGACGGCGTTCGACTGTTTTGCTGATCGGGAGTTGCCATGTTCGTGAACTTCGTTCGGGAGTTTGGCGGTCGGCTGGATATAAACCGCATTCCCAGAGGGTATGGGAGAAGAGTCCGCGGACACCTGGATCTCATTAGAGGCCACTGGGAGGGGGAGACAGAGCAGGAAGGGACCCCCATCGTACCATATGTTCTGGAACTCCGGGACCGCATGGAG